CCCCCCCGCCACACGCACACACCCCCAGCACACACTCCCATCTCTTCCCTTGGGTTCCCAGTAACCCCTAATGCTGGGGTATGTTCGGGTGCCACATACACAAAAAAGCCTTCTGGGAAGGAGGGAAGATGTCAGTCTCCTCATGAGAAAGACAACACAGGCAAGATTTCCCACACACTTGGCTGACTTCTTCAGTTGCTCAGAAATGTATAAAGGAGAGTGAATCTACTGTGATTTCCTTTTCCTTTGGCGTGTTTTGCACCAGCTGTGTGTTCTGTGGAGTCTAATCCAGTAGGTCTGTTCGGAGAGAAAGAGTTGTCAGGCCAGACCCCTCAGGCAAAGTGAGGGGCAGGCAAAAGCAGTTTGTAAATCTCTGGGGTTTTGGGTGGAAGACTGCCTGCCTGCCTGTCTGCTCAGTCCTGTCAAAGCAGAGGCATTTTGGATACACCTAGAAAAGGTGGTTCAAGATTAAGGAGGAGCTTAGCCTAACTTTGGATTTAGGCTGATGCAAACACTGCCCACCAAAGTCGTCTAGCTCTGTTTTACTGTCTATAAACAGGAGTTGTTCCAGGTATTTTGGGGTGGTGGTAAGAGAGCAGGTCACTATGCAGGATAGTCCAGGAGCCGATACAGGAGCCAGTCAGGTGACTAGAAGTAGGTAATGGTCCTGAAATAAATCTCAGACTACTGGATATTCTTAGCAGTTTGCATTTCTCTTATTCTACAGGCACCCACGAGAGAACCCATTTCATAACCTGAAGGTTCTCCTGGTGTCAGACCAGCAGCAGAACTTCCTGGATCTGTGGTCTGAAATCCTCATGACGGGGGGAGCAGCATCTGTTAAACAGCATTACTCAAGTGCTCACAACAAAGGTATTCAGTGGCTGGTTTCTCAGGCCTAGTTGGGCATCCCATGGCACTGTGGTCTCTGGTATGGTTTAAAACCATTTAGGATGGGCTTACAAGGTTGTCTGTAAGCATAAAGGAAGGCAAGTGCAGACACTAGCTCTCTGCTTGAAGGTAATTAGAAAATTACATCTAGACCTTTCTGGAGAAGATGCTGCGGCAATCTAGGAGGTGAGCCGTCAGCTTCTTACCTATGTTGAAAGGGGAAAGTGGGCAAGAGTGGCTCCTGGACCTTCTATAGGCCATTCAGGCTCTGCTTCCTTGTCCTTCTGAGCTCAGCTGTCTCTCCCTATGGGATGTAGGCCCTAGTACTCACAGCCCAAGGTCTTGCTTATCTATTCTTGCCTGTAATGTTGGCTCCTGGGTTTCTGTTAATTTCTATTTGGACTAGAGGGAATTTTACTTGCAAGGTGCAGTGTGGATATAGAGCATGTCTTAATATTTACAAAGAGCATTCATGTGCTAGGAATGCCAGGACATGAAGAGAGAGGGATAGTGGTGAAACACTGATCTGCTGCAGAGAAGATCCTTTCTTTTTTTCACCTGACAGATGCCTGTCTTTCCTCCTGTGCAGATCTTGCTTTGGGTGTTTATGATGTGGTGGTGACTGATTTTTCCTGCCCAGCTGGTGTCTTGAAGTGTGCAGAAGCATTACGGCTGCCTGTTGTCTCACAAGAGTGGGTGATCCAGAGCCTTATTGCTGGGGAGAGAGTAGGCTACAACAAGCATCCAAAATACAAACATGACTATGTCCCCCACTAAGCTAAAACTTTGCCCTGCTGTCCCACTGTTGTGCAGACTGTGTCTTCATCAGGTTTTTAATGTTTGTGTAATTGGACAGTGTGCATGGATTGCTGTATATAGTTTTATCCGCTGGACTTTTATGATGAAATAAATGTTCAATCTCTTGTGGTAGTTGTTGGGACTCATTTATCTAAACTTACTCAAGGGCTGTGTCTAAAGAGAAGGGCAGAGAGAAATGCTTATGTATCTCTGAGCTGAATCGCACTAATACTCTACTTTCTGACCTCAACACAATAAAGGAAGGCAAGGGGCGTTCTCAGCTGGTAGCCTGTATTTACAGCAGCGAGTGCCCTGTGACCAAGTTCAGGGCGGCAGCAGCAGCACTTCTGTTCATTGAAAGAATAGCACTTTGTATACTCCTCCACCTTGCTACTGCTGCTGTTCTTCATTAATTTCATCACAATGTTGCTGAAGTGACTGGTAAGAATTTCTAGGACATGGTGCCATTTTGTTTGGGCTACATTTTCCCCGTTCTGACTATATATGTGTCAACCTGCCTCAGTGCAGACTGGCACTACCTAAGCAGAGATCTAGACACAGGGATCCAGGACAACTAAACTGGGGGGAGAGCGAGGTGCAGAGCATGCAATGGCTGTGTCTAAATGGCAGCTGGGTAAAGCTGCCTTGGAGCTGGTGCATTTACAGCCAGGCACTTTATCTTAGTGCTCACCTCACAGAAAGGCAGAACCTGGGCTTGACAGCTCCGGCAGTGCTGGAGGCTAGATGTGTACGCAGGCCTTCATCCAGCCTCACACGCAGTCTTTAGTCCCCTGCTTTGACAGTCTTAAGTTTTTCTTGATGTATATTATTTCCTAGCTCAGTCACTTTCTGACTGTTGTTCTGTAAATTTCACATCCAAAGTTTCTCACAACACCCTTTCACAGTTTTCTAGCTTTATTTTCATGGTCACAGGATTTTAAACTTTCCATCAAACACTGTCCTACCACAAACAGCTGCAGCTCATCACAGAGGCCAGGCCTCATACTTGCTGTTGTTTGTTACTGTGTTTTTCTGAGCAAGCAGAGAGTTTTTTTTTCTCCCCAAGGACATGTAACTTTCTTGAGAGCTGCAGCTTTGGATACTGTGAAAACACCAGCCCTTGGGGGTTGTGTTCTAACTGGGAAATGTGATAGTGATGTGTCACCTTATGACAAGACTGGAGGGATCTCCCACTCATCCCAATGCACTTAGGCCAAGACTTACAGCATGGCTGGGAAATCTTAGTAATGTGCACAGATACTGTTTTTCATTGCAATAAGGATGCTGTGCCACTGTTTGTCAATGTCTGTGCCCAAGGGCAATGTTCCACATAATTGCATGACAAGATGGTTTTATTCTGGACACTAGTAGCATTCCAGAGTCTTGCATGAGCACAGTACACAGAGCTGGCAGTGTAAAGCTTCTCCCTAGCTTTTGCTCTAGCCCCCTTCTCTGTCAGCAGAGGGAGGTTTGCACTTTGAAGAGAGCAAAGCTCCTACTTCTGATGTGATGTGTAAATTTAGTGCACACAAAATCTATTAAGTTATAGAGAAAGTATGTGACATCACCGCTGGATCCTCTGCAGATATGCTTTAACAGTGTACTCTGAGAAGGGATTCTTAAAGATCTATTCCTTCTTCCCTCCCCCTTCACCTCTGCCAGTGCAGTAGTTTTATTTACCTGGAAGGAAATATTTGATGAGCAGACATTGTGTACTGTAAATCAGTTTACTGCACAAGTGGATCTTCTGAATACAGCCAGAACTTCTTCCTAGTGAAGAACAACAGACTACTTCCTCCGTGCTCCAAACTGGCCAAGGGTCACAGTCCAGCTGAAAAGGTAAGAGAACATAATTCCTGCTGCACTCTGACTTTGTGAAGGGGCTCAGATTGCCTCTTTAGAAGCATTTGTAAGTACATGCAGGTCTGCAGAAAGTGTGTTTTTATCAGTTCAGAAAAAACAGAGTGGCTTCCTGCAGTCACCAGGCAGCCTCGTGTAAGTGGCACTTCCTTCCAGTTCCTCCTGACACGGTGGTTCACAAGGCAAGAGCCAGCTCCCAGTTGAGTGAGAACTTCCCAAGAGCACCCATCTCTGTTGCTTGACGCTTGTTGGTCACAGCCTGAAGGTCTTAGTGCTTAAACTCCAAAACTGCAAGAGAATGGTACAATATTAACTACGTATTGAAAGGAACTCCCCTTACCAACCCACATCAGCATTTCTCAGCCAGTATGAGCTAGCAGCTAGTTCATGTCAAAACCAACTGGAAGGGGAGAAGGCATAAGAAAACCAAAAATCAACTCACGCTGGTGTGTTACTTCTCTGTCATGGCATTTAGCAATACTTTGCTTCTAATTATTTCACCTTACACAACCACTGACAATGACTTATGCTCATTTAGATCACTTTGTACTTCAAGTACCTCAAGGTAACGCTACAAGCAACCCTGAAGATATTCCTACCTGCCCAGGGTCCCTCCAGCCTGGGTGTAGTATTTGTTATAATCCAAGCGTAGCAGCAGTTGAGCTAAGTCAGAGTTTATCTGATGGTTGCGAACACTAGACAGAATCTTGAAGAGAAGCGATGACTGACGACTGAATCCCTACAAATTAGAAGGAGTCAGTTCTGGGCACACTCAAGAAAAAAAGCAAGCAAGCCTTTCAACCCTTCCTGCCTAAACAATCCTGAAGGAATGACAGCCTGAAGGAAAGAATTGCTGCAGGAGAAGCGATGCTGGTGGTCCAGGGTAAGGGAAGCTGTCAGCTGCAAGCATTATTGGGTGTCAAGTATCCAAAAGAAGGGGTAGAGGCAACAACTGATATCCAACTCTTTTTTCTGCATATCTGCCCCCATTCCTCCTCTCTCTGCACATAGAATTTTTGACTTGGGAGCAGGCGATTAATTAAAACCATTACAAGCACTTAAACTCGCTCCTGTTCTACAGCTGTTAAAGCCAAGATGATGATGGCTTAGGCAAAGGTTTGCATGGGAGAACAGGTCCATATAAACACAGATTTACCTTCACCAAAATACTGAGTTGTGCAGCTCCCCGTTCATCTAATGGGCCCAGATTCTGACTGACCAGGGAACAAAAACTATGACAAAGATCCAGAATTTCATTTAAGCAGTGGAAAACCTGCATGGGATAAAACATAGGAGACAGTAGTTTAAACAGGGTGCAAACCCAGAGAAAGCTGTTCTTAGTACCTGAAAAGCTGCAGTGTTTATAATCAAGATGTTGCTGATACCCTGTTTTTGATCAGTAAGGAAGATGTTCAAGCACCCATAGTATTTTTGTAATGTTTTCTATGGAAAAATAACCTGTATGTTATACTGCATCTTCCCCCCGACCCCCAACCTTTTGCAGACCTTACTGGGGAGACAGCCACTGGCTTGAGCCATCTGCAGAGGCCCGGCAGTTGAACACTGGTTTTCCTGCCTGGCCAGCAGGCCACCACCACGGGCTCGGGACTGAGGAGGCAGCATAAAAAGCGGCACAAGCTGTGGTTAGAAGCCTTGGTTCCACTGTTCACACAACCTGGCATTTCTCTGGTACCAGCTGATCGAGGTAACATGCACTCAGGAGTGTTAAGAAAGCCCAGAGGCCTCACAGACAGAACTACCAGAACAGAAAAAAGTGCCAGACTGGATAACTGGTGTTCTGCCATCTTTATGCTACCGCCTCGTCAAAGGTGGTCCCCAGGTGCTCTAAGAGAAGCCAACGCCAGAGATGACCACCCTGGCTGAACAGGGAGCTTTGGCTGCAACTCAGGGAGGAAAGGAGAGTTTACAGCCTTTGGAAGAAGGAGCTAGCCACACACAGTGATTTACAGAGAGGCTATGTAGGGTGGAAATCAGAATGGCTAAAGCCCAACTGGAAATTAATTTGGCCTCTGCAATCAAGGATAACAAGAAAAGTTTCTGTAAGTATGTCAGTAGCAAAAGAAAGTCCAGGGAGAGTCTCCATCCCCTGCTAGATGCAGGAGGAAATTTGATAACAAGTGACGAGGAGAAGGCTGAGGTGCTTAATCCCTTCTTTGCCTCAGTCTTTAACAACAAGGTTAGTAGTATTGATGAAATCCAGCCTCCGACCTCCCTGCAATCCAGGAGACAGTCAGTGACCTACTGCATCACATAGACAAACACAAGTCTATGGGACCGGATGGAATACACCCGAGAGTGCTGAAGGAGCTGGCTAGGTGCTCGCCAGGCCACTTTCTATCATTTACGAGCAGTCCTGGCTGACCGGGGAGGTCCCAACGGATTGGAAATTGGCCAACGTGATGCCCATCTCTAAGAAGGGTCGGAAGGATGATCTGGGAAATTACAGGCCTGTCAGCTTGACTTCAGTGCCTGGGAAGCTGATGGAGCAGCTCATCCTAAACACCATCATGCAACACATGAGGGACAACCAGATGCTCAGGCCCAGTCAGCATGAGGTTATGAAAGGCAGGTCCTGCCTGACAAACCTGATCTCCTGTGACAGAGCGACCTGCTTATTGGATGAGGGAAAGGCTGTGGCTGTGATTTACCTTGACTTTAGCGAGGCTTTTGACACCATTTCCCACAACATTCTCCTGGCAAAAATGACTGCTCGTTTGGACAATCGCACACTTTGCTGGGTAAAAAACTGGCTGGACGACTGGGCCCAGAGAGTTGTGGTGAACGGAGTTAAATCCGGTTGGCAGCCGGTCACGAGTGGTGTCCCCCAGGGCTGGGTGCTGGGGACACTCCTGTTTAACATCTTTATTGATGATCTGGACGAGGGGATCAAGTGCACCCTCAGTCAGTTTGCTGATGACACCCAGCTGGGTGGGAGTGTTGATCTGCTCGAGGGTAGGGAGGCTCTGCAGAGAGACCTGGATAGACTGGAGCCATGGGCTGAGGCCAACTGCATGAGCTTCACTAAGGGCAAATGCCAGGGGCTGCCCTTGGGCCACAACAACCCCCAGCAGGGCTACAGGCTTGGGGAGGAGTGACTGGAGAGCTGCCAGTCAGAGAGGGACATGGGGGTGTTGATTGACAGCCGCCTGAACAGGAGCCAGCAGTGTGCCCAGGTGGGCAAGAACGCCAATGGCATCCTGGCTTGTGTCAGGATTAGTGTGGACAGCTGGGACAGGGACGTGATCTTACCCCTGTACTTGGTGCTGGTGAGGCCGCACCTTGATTACTGTGTTCAGTTTTGGGCCCCTCACTACAAGAAGGCCACAGTTACTTGAACATGTCCAGAGAAGGGCTACAAAGCTGGTGCAGGGTCTGGAACACATGTCCTGTGAGGAGCGGCTGAGGGAACTGGGATTTTTAGTCTGGAGGAGAGGAGGCTGAGGGGAGACCTCATCACCCTCTACAACTCCCTGAAAGGAAGCTTTGAGCCTCTTTAGCCTAGTAGAAGGCAACAGGACAAGAGGGAATGGCCTCCAGTTGCACCAGGGAAAGTTCAGACTAGATATTAGGAAGCATTTCTTTCCAGAAGGGGTTGTTGGGCGTTGGAATGGGCTGCCCAGGGAGGTGGTGGAGTCCCCATCCCTGGAGGTGTTCAAGAGTAGGGTCGATTTAGAGCTTAAGGATATGCTGTAGGTGGGAACTGTGCTAGGAGAACAGCTGGACTAGATAATCTCCAGGGTCCTTTCCAACCTCGATGATTCTGTGAGTGGAACAGTGAAACGTGCAAGATCTGCCTATCACTGTGTTTCACTGACACCAACCTTCCTTGGGAATGGTTCTGTGAGGGCATGTGTTCACTAAAAACTGTACCATATTTTTTACTAAAGCAACCATAAACAAGACCCTTAAACTCCACTCAGGCACATCTCAACTATTTTTCTCCTCCAAAGTGTAAGAGGGATTTTTTTCTAATCGAATGCATTTCAGAATGAATCCCTCAGCAATACAGTTCTCAGCACTATGCTAATCAGTACTTCATAAAATTGCCTGTGTGAAAATACAGCAACAGAATTTAAGGTTAACTGAACACAGGAATAATCTTGATTTTAAATTGCAAGGAATGCAGTATCCACACTCACCAACTGTAAATTAAGTGATCTCAATTCAGTTATCTGTTCTAGTTTATACCTGCTTTATTCCTAGAACTGTAGTCTGTGCTCTGCAGGAGATTATCACTGATATGTTTTAAAAGAGACTGTCATAGCTACTCAAAAGTGTGTTTCTTAGGACAGTTGGAGAATTTGTAGAAAAAGGTGAAAACAAGACCTACTTACAGGTTTTAGGAGGATGAAAGACTGAGCCAGCAGATTACTTAAGAAATGATCATGAGCCAATCGTATACTCTCAAAATCTCGCGTGGCATTTATCTGCTGCAGGAGCTGTGAGAACTGAGACTCCAGTACGTCTACCTGATGGATATGTAAAGAAATCTCATTAGTATCTTGAGGACTGGGAGTACTTCAGACCAGCCAGAAGTTTTGTGTAAGAAATTTACTTTCCTTATTGCTACTCTTAGCTTAGAGGCTGAGGATCACCTCTCTGCCTCCTGAATGGCGAATTACCTAAACCAGTAATCTATAAGGGGGCAGGGTGGGGACATATGGACCAATACACAGTTTTTGATGCCTAAGTATTATCTAAGTAGAAAGGGAAACTATCACTTTCTTTAAGATTAACTATTGAAAAAGGATACAACTAGCATGTAAACAAATATATTGATTGTAATAATCTCTGAACTTTATACTGGGAGACACTAACTGGAATCTTGGGGCAAAGGCTGCAGTGTAAAAGCTCAGCAAGATTATTCTGGAGGATCTAGAGTAGGATCCCATAGGAAGGCCAGGCACCCTCAATTCAGCTGTTACATCTATTCACAAAATTATAATCCTCACAAAATCATGCTACTGGTAACTGCTGTTTACATTTGAAAAGTCTCTTTTTTTACTTCAAATGGTCAGAATATGGCTTCTTTCAATTCTTAAGGAAAAAAAAAAAGCCTAACAAAAAAACCCAAAACAACTTGTCACTTAAACTGGAGTTCATGTGAAGGGAGGAAGCTGGGATGGTATCTTAATGAGGCTACTTCAGAGATGACTCTGGTTCCTCATAAATGTTCAGTAGCACTGGAGAGCCAAACCTCTTGCATTTCCAGTAACACAGTCACTGATTCACAAGTCCAAAACTTTATAATTGTAGGACTAAATCTGGGAACTCGGAGAAAGTTCTAGACTGATTTCCTTAAGGTAAAAAGAATCTGAACCCTGAAAGACATGACTTCAGTGCTCCCTCCATGCATTTCTGGCAGTGCCTGACTGAACAATAGTTTACCTTTCTCTATAATCCTGACCTGCAGATAATACTGAAGATTGTCCACAAGGAAAGCCATGTGATCCCTCAGACGCCACTTGATGGCATCAGTTCTGTTGGATTTCAGATGTTTGCGTTGCATCTGGAGAGCCCAGCAGTGCTGTAGCTCAGCCTGGACTCGTCGCACACTCAGCAAGTATTTGAACACAACGTTGTACCTACAGTCAAAAAATACGAAGTTTAAGATTAAAATCTTCCTTGGGTGCAGGTACTGGAGAACATAACCATGCAAGACTGGAAGAAGAAACAGGAGGTGGCTGCCAGCCAACAGACAGGGTAGGTCAGGTGATGGCCTAAAAAATACAAAGTTAATTTCACCATAGGAAGAGCTGACAATGCTCTGTCAAAGCAGCACTGTTCGTTAAAAAAAATCTGTCAGCATTTTGCAGGTTTTACTGTCACTACAACAAGTACCCTCAATATGAGTAAGTGGAAAGAGTCATTTTAAGGTTTAAGAAGCAAGATGAAGTATTATAGCTCTACCTTTCTTTCCACAGAAGGGGAAAAAAAAACCCACAACACCACATTAGTGGGTGCTGAGATCAGGGAACCTATTGATGAATATACAAAGACCATACCTAGTACTTACTTCTCCAGAACAGCAGGAGTAAAGAGAATGTGCAGTGGCCATTGCACTTTGTAAGAAAGGCCCAGAGCTGCCCATCCAGATGCAGGGGCTTCACGTGGAGATAACTCCCGGGAAGGCCCTTCACGAGTCTGAGAAGTATCTGGAAACAAATGAGGTGCTGAATTAAGTTGTCTTCTCAGTCAAGATAACCATGGCAAGGAAGACAAGGGGAAAGAACAGAGTGAAGAAGAGCCAAAGCAGGGCAGGCCGTCATGTAGGGCTGCACAGGGAACAAAGGTAGTATTTCTTTAACTTCAGAGAAGGGTAAGTAGTGGGACTTGAAAACAAGGTCATCATCTCTCTGCTTAACTTGCTACTAAAAATGCAAGTAGATACCTTTATGCTCCTTTCCATGATACTCAATGGTTAAGTGAAGCAGAGGAAGAAGGTTGTCATCATCTAACAGCACCTTATGAGCAGACTGCTGAAACGCGACGTTGACATCTGACAAGAGAGCACAGATACCAACAGTAAGATGATGCAGATACTGCTATTTTTGCACCCATTAATTATTTATGCTCAGCCATAAAAAACAACGACATGCTATTTCCACTCGTTTCATTTAATTCCAGTTTCAAACATGAAGTGAAACCTGCCATCTGAGAGCTTCCAAGATGTTATTTTCACCCAGTGAGACACTCTAATTCACAAGTGCTATTCTTTCAGAACTAACAGCAACATGCAGAGGATAAAAGAGAGGTCTTCTGGACTGGACATGACTATACCATAGCGAGGAGAGTTTGGTAAGCAAAGAAGCAATACTCACCATGTTCAGTTACAGCCGTAGGTGGTGTTTTTAACATTTGCTGTGCAGTGTCAATAAAGGCCTGAAACAGCTCACCTCTTCCCAAAAGGTAAAAGTCTTTTATAATCTGTGGAGATAAATTTTTTGTATATAAGTATATCATAAACTGAAATTTTAAGGATCCTAGCTGATAGCATCCAGTTTTACTATTGCTTGGACAACTTCTGTCACTTAAAACACAGCTAGAGAGCTCTGAATTTCAACCAGTGCCCAAAAAGTCTACCCTGCCTTTGCTTCAAGATGCAAACCACAAAACCACATATACATACCCCTCTAACTCTGTCTCTGACCAAGTTCTATTGCTCTGTGCTTATTCTTAAGATCTGGAAAATGAAAACAGCTTTACCTAAAAGAAGGAAGGGCAGAATCTAACATAGTAAAGAATTTAATGGGAAAGAGCCATTAAAAAAGAAAAACCTAAGCTGATTTATCAAAAAGAAGCTAGCAGTTAAATTACCTTCAGTTGTCCCAGTAAATCTGACTCCTCCACCATCAGTTTCCAAAGATGCTAGTGAGGAAACAAAAAAATAAAAGAAAGCTCCCTTCAGATTTATCTAAACCCATTTGGTGAGAACAGTAGCTGTCTTAAAATACAATCATGCATATAAAAAAGCACCTATATAGAATGCTATATAAAGCACAAGAGAACACGCTAAGAATCCTGCCTGTAGGCAGCCCACGCTACTAGTCAGTACACTCTTGATGTATACCAGAAAGAAACTGCCTAGGAAACGTGACAACCCATGACAAAAAAATAAGCAAGTTCTTATTAAATGAGTTCCACCCCAGCTTTGTTCTCACTTCTTTGACCTCCCCATCTTCTCAGGTTCCCTCCCAGCCCTAAATGAAAAAAAGATTAAAAATCACTAAAGCAAAGAATTTCTCCAGCGAGATGCCATTATGCTGAAAGCATGATGAATGTTATGAAGTTCTTTCAAGTGAAATAAAAAAAAAATATATATAAAAATTCTCTTCTTTCCCCCACGAAAGTGCATAGTATTTGTTAGTGTCCTTTTGTCACCAGAAGTTGGGGTGACATGAAGCTCTGAGCCCCGTAAGAAAGCCACCTGCAGCATTCACACACTTGTTCAACCACTGATTCTAAAGAGCCACCTCCTCCCTGTCTTTCACACAGCCAAGAGCTCCCGTTACCCTTCCCAGGACCCTCACCTCAGCAACAGTGCTCCGTATCCAGTCAACCACGGATTCAAAGTCCACTAAGCTGAAGAGTGGTTGCTGCTTGAGTCGATGGAGCTCTGCTGCAAAAGTGTCCTCCTGGTTTTTTAGGATGGAGCCTGCGCAGTGGTGAGAAGAGCATAGTGGCAGTGACAAGGAATGGTGTTTGGAGAAGTGCAGATCCCTCTCAGCACAGAAAGGCTGCCCCCGCAGCACCGTCCCAGGTCTGGTGAGGAATGTGAAGCCTCAAAGTACAGGTACCAGGGTACGAGACAACTATTGCACGTACGGTTAGAGTACAGACACCCCACGTGGCAGTGCTGTGCCGTCAGTAAGCACCCAAAATACTGTTCATGTAAATGGCTGCTGCTAACAGCCCTCTTCCTAGGGCTGAGCTAGATCTCTGAACCCACAACTTTTCTGCCAGATTAACCAGTTGGTTTGGTTCTCCATCCACACCTGCCCCTTTCAGATCTGTCCTACTGCTTGAACTTGGGGATTTTTTTTTTTTTTAACCAAGCTAGGAGACAAATTTTTTTCATCTGCCTTCTGTTAAGGCGAGAAAACAGTCTAATTTAATCAGTCCTTTGTTCTCTGCAATGTCAAGTTACTTCAGTACTTTTGCGTAGACAAGCTCAAGATAGAGCGGTCCCCAAGTGGTGCAGGAATGTATTTCCATCAGGCTCTCAAAGAGAACCATCAGCTGGAATTGTCTCTCTCTTGTTCTCTTTAGGCTCCTTCTTGATCATTTGTCTTCCACAGTGACCTCTGGGACCACCTTGCAATGAATCTCTTATGTCTGTGGATGCGCTTTAATCCTGTGACACCATTCTGCAACATGTTCACTCAGAGCAAGATGTGCCCTTGTGTCTCTCTGTGCCCTTCAGGGAGAGGGATGCAAACTGAAAACATGACCTTTGCAATTGCTTTATTTATCCAGAGAAAATCACAGTGACTTGTTACTGGAAACTTGGAGACTGTGTTTGGGAAGTGTTATTATTATTATTTACTCATCC